GGTATGGGCTCTGGAGTGGGGCCAAGGGTGAGGAATTTGGGGAGCAGTAGGGGACTCCAGGTAGGAACCAAAGGGTTCAGAGTGCAGAAGGGCTGAGGCAGAGGAGTGGAATATTGAAGTGGGTGAGGGGTGCAGGTTCCAGGCTGTGCTTAGTTCAGGTGGCTTCTAAGAAGCAGCTGGCATGTCCCTCCAGCTAGGAGTTTGCCCAGAGTTGCCATTCAAACAGCCTCCACTGGCCATGGTTGCTGGCCAATGGGAGCTGTTAGAGACCTGTGTTTTACAGCTACCATGCCTAAGCTTTCAGTCAACTTATCTTTCAAGAGGAGAACATACAGTAGCTCTTCCTTAATAGTTTTCTACACTGAGGTAGTCAAAGTAAAGGCAGTAATTTATATGGCTATTTATTACACTTAGAAGACGTGAGATTTCAACTTCTGGTCTCCTCTTTCCCAGCTCAGAAGCTGTTCCCTAGCTACAGTGTATGGAAGTGGGAGAGTCAGTCAGTCAGTCAGTCTCTTTCTCTCTCGGCATGTGCACTGCTAAAGACAAGTGATCAAATTCAGCAGGTTCGCCATATATGCACCTATTTTTCATTATGGCTACACAATTATCGAATACGCTCCAAAAAATCCACAACCCATGCATAAATGATATTTTAGGAAAAACAACTCTGTGGTCAAAAGGACAGGTCACAGAATGTTTTAGATGTCTTGCAAAATATGTACAAAGTAAAATGAGAGAATTCAGTGGGGGCGGGGTGGGGAACTGTCAGATGAACATCACACAAGGGGATGATTTTTAAACTCCTATTCTTTCTATATCAAACATTTTTAATCAAACTACCATGAAAAAAATCAAACATTAAAAATTAACAGTTTGCTCATTTTTTTGCTATTTCACTAAGAGTTTTACATGTTGGGGTATGTCTACACTACACATTTATTTCAAAATAGTGTGTCTACACTACAGGGAACCCTCAAAATTAGTCCAAGGCAGGCTCTCCTAATGTGAACATTAGGAGATCCTACCTTGATTTAGAAGCCCAGGAAGCGCTAAGGAGCTCAATTACTTTGAATGGCCCTGGGGCGGAGTTATTTTGAAATAGTAGCAGTGGAGTGTCCACACTGCAGCTATTTCGAAACAGCTATTTTGGAAGAGGCATTATTACGCGTAGAATGAGGTTTACAAAAGTCGGAATAAGCTGTCCATTACTTCAAATTTATTTCAAAATACTGGAATTGGTTGTGTAGATATTCACATTGTTATTTCAGAATAAAGGCCATTATTCCAAAATAATGCTCCTGTGTAGATGCACCCTAGGTTTAAAACTCGTGTTAAAGAGAATTTTGTCATGCAACATTATCTATCATGCAGCTATTGCTGAACTACAACCAATATGCCTGATTCTGAAAGAAAGGATGAAAGAAGAGAGAAATGTTCATTCAACTGGTAATTTCAGTGCTTCGAAAGGACACATTTATCACTGATGACCATGAAGAAAATTTAAAACTTTAAAAATACTCTACATACAGCAAGCTAAAGTATAAATAAGAGTGATTTGGTGGCCAATGCAAATGATCACCTTGGAAGTCTGGGCAAGTTTCTTTGGCCTGTGTTATGGAGGAGATCAGTCTAGATCATGTGTTAGCTAGATCATGGTCTAGATCAATGGATTGGCTTCCAATCCATTAGGGTAAGCTCTTGGGGGGCTGCAAGATGCTTTGTTTACCTTGAATGTCTGTAGCTATGGCCACCCGCAGTTCCCAATGGCCGTGGTTCACCATTCC